CAGATCGTTTGGAATCAAAAATTTAAACGTACCTTGTAAGATCACTGACCTATGGCAGGTCAAAGTCAGGCCATGGTTTCAGCGAATGCAATTTCTAGGGCATCGTCCAATCTGATACAATGACGGAGTGTTTGACGAAGCCATACATCTCTGAGATGCTTCCTTAGGAACTACAAATATTGAATGAGGGAATTACGTTGATCTAAAGTCAGGTATGAAGCTCAGACTAAGGTCACAATCAGCCTGATTTATTACCCTAGAGCTTGCTGTATGGGATAGTTTGTGGTGCTCATTTCGAAATTACGTTGATCTAAAGTCAGGTATGAAGCTCAGACTAAGGTCACAATCAGCCTGATTTATAACCCTAGAGCTTGCTGTATGGGATAGTTTTTGTTGCTCATTTCGAAATTATTGAAAGCAGGAACCGCACTTTAAATCTTCTATTGACTTCTGAGAGAGCAGAAAAGGTCATTGACCTAAGATGAACCGGGTCGACATTTTGTTTTATGAACATACTGCCCAGCGTAATTTTTGTCGCCTATTCAAATCCAAAACTCAGAGCAGTCTTATGTGATTTTGGTCACCATGACTTTTAAAAGATCAAACAAGATCACTGACTTCAAATGGGTTTTTGACCTTTTGCTTACGAACAGTTTCCCAGGCTCTGGGGGCACTATGGTGGCCAGCCTGGAATTTGACCTTGTTTGACCTTACTTGACCCGAAGGTCACAAACTAGGAAGCTCAAACTTTGACCTAAGTGAGTTCACGTACAGGTTAAGACACCCTGCGAATTTGGTGTCTCTAGGTTCCTTAGTTCCCGAGATCTCGGGAGTCAAATTGCCCCCCCCCCCCCCCGAGCGAGGGGCATCTAGCCGGCCACCTGGGCGCGTGTTAACACGCACTTGGGTGGGGGTCAAATCGACTCTCCTCGAGGGTTTTCCGGAATGGTTTCCGGAGGGCGCGACGTAGCCGCGCCAAATTTCGCATAGCTGTAGACAAATGATTAGCGGATCGTGTAGTGTAAAAAATTGGATGTAGCTTGTAAGGTCGCTGACGTACAACAGGTCAAAATCAGGCCATCGATTCAGCGACGCCAAGTTAAGGGGAATCGCTCATTCTGATGAAACAACGGAGTGTTCGACGAAGCCATACATATCTGAGATACTTTCTTAGGCAACACAACAATCGAATGGCCAAACTCCATCTCATACTCTCTCATATCTCATACTCAAACTCATATCTGACCTAGGGTCAGATATGAAGGTCAAACCAAGGGGAAAACCAACCTGTTCTATTACCCTAGGGCCTCCTGTATGGGGTTAGTCTCTCGAGCTCATTTCTAATTGATTGATGACGGAACTGCATTAGACACCTTCTATGGACTTCTTACAGGTCAGAATAGGTCACTGACCCAAAGTGACCCAGGTCAGCATTTCGTTTTTAGGATGATACTTCCTAGCTTAATCTCTGCTGCTTATGCAAATGCAAAACTCAACGCAGTCGCAGTCTGATTTTGATCATCATGACATTATAAATGTAAAACAAGGCTACTGACCCTGAATGAGAATGTGACTTTTTGCTTAGAACAGGTATCTAGGTTTTAAGGAAACTTTAAAGACGAACTTGGAGTTTTACCGTGTTTAACCTTATTTGAGACGAATGTCATGGCATAGAAAGCTCGAGCTTTGACATAGGGGAGTTCACGTACAAGCCAGCACACACGGTGAATTTGGTGTCTCCAGTCCTCGTAGTTCCTGAGATATCAGGGGGAAGTCAACTTGACCCCCCAACCGAGCGAAAGGTATCCAACTAGCCACCCGGGCGCGTGTTAATAAATTCTTCCCACCGGCGGTGGATTAGAGGAACAGGCTCCCTCCCCCTCCAGGTGCGCGCAGCATTGAAAGTTACGGCTATGACGTTGCATGAAAAGGGACGTGCAAATCAAAATAACCCTGGCATGGGGTCCCGCACCCCGAAAAACGGTCCGCATCAGTTCAATTTAGCAAGCAAACCACACAACACTGTTATAAGTACATGCGCTAGACATTTATGAATTCCTTTAATGTTTTTTATATATTTCTTTGTCGTATATAATGCAAATAAGTGGCGCTCTCCCTCACATCTGTAACGTATTCAGCTTCTACAACCATGCGTCGGCATCAGCGGTGCACTTGTCAACTAATTATAGTGAAGTTTGCTAACACTTACAGCTGATTGTATGATGACGTCACAAAGCCACAAAATCAATGCCAGCCGGGCGATAGCTTGCGCGTTTAAGCCCGGCACGCCAATGATGAGACATGGCACTTCCATCACGTCACGGCCCCTACCGGTCGGAGGGCAAATTATGACTGATAGCCATGTGCTGTAAGAATAGGTTCATGGATCACTTTGCATGATCTCTGAAATTAATGTGAAATGTGACCGGATAGCAAAGAGCGTGACCGTATAAGACCAGGACAGCATATAGACAGGACCAAACAGAACCCGACCGGAAAAAATAAACCAGGCGAGACCGGGTGGACAAGACGAGACCGGGTGAGCAAGACGGGACCGGGCGGACCGCACGGATTCAGCTGAGACCAGACGGTCCTAGACATGACAAGACAGAATCAGACGGGATCCGAGGGCACCATACGTGACTGAAGGGAACTGGAAGACACGAAACATACAGAACGGTGGTGGGGCCAGACGGGTACAACCCTAGGAACCGTCTGATACGAGGGACAGCTGGTGAGGCGCTGAGGATGACTTTTTGCGTGGTATGCGGCATGCATTGCTCTAGGTTCCGATGGAACAGATATGTCCTAAGTAGTATCTGCCCGATGCCTGGGCTTGAAACGAGATGATTCAAGTAGCCGTACATAACCCACCCAGACGGCTGATGCAACGCGGCCACCTGGCCGAGGGTGGCGTCATCCAAGCGGCGGGCTCGGCAGGACGGTTGTGTGTGGGTAACGGACAGCGACCGGCATATGGCCGTGAAGTGGATCTTTCGATGCCGATAAGGGAGGTTTGCTAAATGAACACTTTCACTCCCTACGTTGAACTATTGCGCCCACCTACCCATGTTTAACTCGGAGAAGGTGTTTAAACTGTAGGGTCTTGATGGTTCTTACATACCTTCCCATTTCTGCGGTGATGACCTGACTGCACCTGATGACCGAACGCCACTGTTTTCAAGCAGCACTCGCCACTTCCAACCTAGCGTCGTAACAACAAAATGTCAGGCACTTTGTATGACATACCTTCGAAATAGTGTCATTCTCCTCAAACCAAATAGCCGGTACCTCAAATCCTCAATACCCTCAAAATCCTTCTTCAATATCCTCAAACCGGTGCCGAATTTTAGATTCAAAGCAGATAACTGTGTTACGGCACGTCGGTCTCTCACAACAAACAGAACCTAACGCGTCTTGAAACATCACTTAATGCATTAAAGCTTTTCAATGCATCTTGTACTTCACATAACGCGCGAATACTGCAACTGGCTGTTTACACATGCCATAACCGTAGATATGGGTGTTTGCAGATGACACGTATCCCCATCGATCAAGTCGCCGTCACGGAAGGTAATATTAAAATGTGTTAACGCTGTGTGTCTGTTGATACGAAGGATCGCCGAGAACCTATTATTTTCGAACAAAATTTGTGTAGCACACATCTTAGCAACTTGTGCTTCACAGGCTATGGTGCCCAGATTTCCAGCAGAAACCTAACGAAACTACATTTACACCAAAGAAAAGTCCCCAATCCCTTAAAAAGTGCATTTTTCGCCGCCCTGCGACCCGCCCATGAGGACTTGTCTTGAAATTTAATCTGACTTTTTCAGTCAATCTTTTATACGCAAGTGATTATATCCATATGTAAGATGTGCGTACCCCGTGCCCAAGGACGATACCTACGGCAACCGCCTTCCACCTGACCACGTTAATACGAGCGCTACGTCAAAAAACGAGAGGACAAACCTTGAAAAACGACCCTTCGGCACATCCAACACGATCCCGCGTAGAGCAGCCCGTCGTTGCAGTTTTGCAGCAGTCCTTGTTAAAATGCGTCGACTGCCTCCCGATGGCGGCTGGTGGCGTCTTTCCGGCAACGACCGGTCATTTTGAACAGAAGCTGCCTTGGCGTGACCTCGACGACCGATCCTGAGATGAAGCCTCGGAAGTTGCCACGTCGATATCTAGCGAGGCGGTCTGCACACAAACACTCCTATTGCAATCAGCAGCGGCTAACCCTCGCGCTGAACGCTTTACCATCTGAAGAGGCCTGGTGTTATATGTAAACGTGAGCCCTCACACTTCACCGAAACTAGTGCCGCAGGCAAATTGGGGGGCGAGTCTGCATGAGGTTGGAGAGCAGTGTGGCTCCTCGTGCAGTGGTATGTTGGGAATCGGCCTCTTGTACATTTCGGAAGCTCACGTGGGCGCCGCCACACCTGCCTCCCGCTGCACAGCCGGTCGGCAGGCATTGACCGCAATCAGCCTCTCATCCCGGCGGTCTGGTCTCACTCACGAGACTGTGTTCCGACGCGTACTACGCCAATCACCGTGTTCGTTTAGTCATTTATTGGTAAAATCCCGACAAGCAGCCGTCCTAGGCCACACTACAGGGTTTCCATCGGGGCTACTGCAGAGGCCACCGGCCTTGCGCGGACCCCCGGCACGCGGCCGGCGCCGCCAAACCCAAACAGCACGCGCACAGCAACCCGAAAGCGAAGCCCGCTGACGTGTCGGACGCAGAAACACTGTTCACACGCTGCCCGCTGGCGTGTCGGACGCAGAAACACTGTTCACACGCAGCCCGAGACGACGACAATCGAGCTCGAGGCTGGATGCGGTGACGTGAAGATCCACTACTCAAATGCGATGCCACAAGCTTCCCCAAACGGCACTGGGCCGCGCGCAGCGCAAATCAAATATAGGATCTACTTAAAGATCAACAGTATTCATTGTTGGGATATGCCCCGGTATACTCATTCAACCAGCGGCGAAACTAAAATTTTGGTGCGTGGCGCGTATGGCAAACATTCGCTATTGGCCTGTTGCACGACGGCAATAAACGGCTTCACAAACGCGCAAGGAAGACATGCAACTATTTTGTCTAACTTGGAAGCCCTACGCAGTGATCAACAACTAGGGTTTCGTCGCCCAGACCAGTCAGGTTCAAGGGAAAACGGTGCACCCAACGCACAACTGACCAGCGCTTCCCGCAACGCAAAGGCGTGCCATCAGCAGGCCGTCAGCATCAACATCAGGTCAAGGTCATCAGCAGCATTGGTTCCAGACGTTTGTACTCCTATCAAACCGCCAAACGCATAAGGCACATCTTAAGGCCACCGTTGGTTTGAGCTGCAGCTACAGGAGTGTCAGAATCGGGCAGGCAATCACAACCCATATTAAATGAAGACTTGATTACAATGGCGATGTGGAGCGACGCAGCATGGTTCACTAATTAACTGAACACACCGTGTCGAGGCACAGGGGTTATGGCGGCAGGACGAGGAGACGGATCCACCAACACCGCCATGGTGTGACGACCGACGAGTCCATACAAAGACTCGGAGCGATGGGGGGCGGAGAGAGATCACGTTTGCAAACGATGCTCCATGCGTAATTTTCGACGTAGATACATACTTACTTCCATTTTTGAAAGCTAACAATTACAAATGACTAGACAGACGACACAGCAAAACTTCACACACTGCACAAATACCCCTACCTACACACTAATCGTCCGAAATGTAACAGTCTCATTGTTCAGGTTCCAAAACAAACAAAAAAACATAACAGCAGCCGGCGAATCTGTCGAACATGAGGACCAATGCATCCCTATAGGCGACAGACACTTTTTGTAAAGAGTCGGACAACACAATCGCTGATGCAATTCAGTAAAACCAATGTGCAGGCTCAATTAGGTAACGTCATGCAAAACGACAACTACTCAACAATCAACGACAGTTAGCCATCATAGGCTGTCTTTTGATTGCATATGGACTAGAACAAATCACACAATTCCCCAATGAAAAACGGCAAATCAAAACTTTATACACACGATTCTGCTATGATAGGATATCAAAGCCCCGTATAGGGTACGAATAAATACACGACACTGCCGGTCTGTGACTGGCAGCTGCAAGGAGCCATTGAGCGGGACGCCTGGGGCCTGCACCTCGGGCCTCAACTACAGGGCTACATCAGGTGCCAGAGGGAATGGGTACTGGTTCGCTGAAGGAATGGTCACTCGGGCACTAGGGAATGTCAAAACACGTTACCTATGGCTTCATACCTGACGTGGACGTGTACTGGGCCGGACGTCTACCGGCCGGGAGGCTCACTTGCGGAAGACTAGGAATGTATCGTGACTAGGGTCGATGGCTCGTGTTCAAGGCGCCGCTACCGCCACGACTAGCAACTAGCTGCCGGGGAGGGTGGCTGCAGGGCTTCAGGTTAACCGCACTACTTCTGCCGCTCAGCAGTTGTTGACAGCCGCAGGCGCAACGACGTCCGCGTCCATCGCCGACGGCGACGCCTCGCCGCTCTCGTCGGCCGTCAGCTCCTCCTGCTTCAGCCGGCCCTTCAACTCGTCCGCAGCGGCCACCTGCGGGCCGGGTCCCTCCGACGAGACGATGCCGTGGTCCAGCATCTCTCGCAGAGCTTCGCCCTTCACCTTGTGTATGTTGGTGATGTGCTTGCGGAGCGTATCGCGCGAACGGGTCGGCGTCGAACAGATGGAGCAGACGTACGTCAGGTGCTTGTGCAGGTCCATGTGCACACGCAGGTTGTAGGCGTTGCTTATCAGCTTACTGCATTCCGGACACTTGACGGGCAGCATGCGTCGGTTTGGCTTTGGAAGCAAACTCTTCCATACCGGTCCGCCTTCCGCGTTGCCCCCATCTGGAACACATCGAACGCATGCCGTTTATTACCTGCAGTCCACCAGCACGGCTGCATTGTAGTGCGGATGCAATTGACAAGTGCTGGATTAAGAAAATGCCATTTTCGTACTGCGTGTATTCAGCCACAACGCAAGGCAATGCAGTTAGACAAGAGTACATCGCAGGCAGGCGTAGCACAAAAGGAGGCGCGAAGAGGCGCAGGAAGTTGCATTGAGAGCAAGCCCTGCAAAGGAAAAAAAATGCGAATATTAGTAATGTGTAAGTTTCGCTTTTGTAGTGACCATGCAAAGCACAACATTATTTTCACTTATCGCAGTTAGTGCAGTAGCGTTGTCTGTGTGAAGCCATCACGTTAGTGATGAGTTCATGTGACAAGGGGTTTTGCCACTGAGCCACCATTCCTGATGCAGAGCTTTGCCCGTAATGATCACGCGGACAGCAGAATAAATAAAGCGATTTAGCGCATCCAATTTGTAGTGCGGTGATAGACAGCGGGCAACAGATGCGACCAACGAGGGTAAGGGCATGCATAAGGCAAAGCCAAGGACATAATACCTAACTGATCGCGATGACGCCGGAGTTGTGGCATGATTTCCGGAGCAGTCAATCTCGTGTGGTCTTCAAATGCAGTCTTTCACCATAATGCAGATCGGTACGGGCTTTCGAAGATGTCTCGACAACGGGGTTCGGTACTGAGACTGTAGAATGCATTCACATCTACCCAAACAGATCAGGTACACACATGTAAATATGAATCAATCACGATGTTAACTAATATACAGAGCTAGAACCACAGAAAAGCTAAACTAGCAACACGCGAGCTTCGGGTGAACAGCACACATCTAAACTTACGACCCCTTCCCAACCCTATCTGACTTGACTGCATGTACAGCATTCAGAAACTTGGCCAATCGATTAGAGCAGACCATCACATAGAGTTGACCCCGCGTCAGCGTCCAACAATGTCGATGCTACAGTAATGCTCGCATGTTTGTGGTGCAAACATATCCCATTTTGGCAGCTACGGCACGCGCTCTGGAAATAAGGTACGTGAATTGGTACAACCCGCGACCAAAGTTCACGCGATTCAAATAATTTCGGCAATTAACCAGTGGCACATAAAAATATGTTTTTAAATTGACGTGAGCCTCCCAAAAAGCGCTGTGATGCTGGCCCGCTTCACCGGTTAATTTAATTCCCTCACTAACTTTGCAGTTTTTTTTCGCAGTTTAAACAAACACCTCAGTCTGCTTTGTCAAATCAAATATAAGAGGAATGGCATATGGCCTCCGATGCGACCAAAATGCATACGGATTCCAAAACATACGCAGACATTTTGCGTGGTATGAAATCGGGCGTGCGTGGAGTATATCGTCGAAAAAGTCGAACAGATGGCCCGAAATATCCGTGAGGTTTGTCTTGTTTTTAACTTTTTCTGAGCTAGGCCGCTAATCCGAAGTATCTTACAGTCGTGCACGATGAGTATTTTGCGACATCGTAGAAGTGAAGTGCACAGCTGCAAAAGTTGGATGACGCCACATCACTGTTGTCTTACCACGGGTTGTTCTAGGCTCCAAAATGAACACGTCAGTTCCAAAAATGGATGCGATCACGCAGAACGACGACCAAAAGTGTCCTTAATTCCGCGCCGTTCCATTTGCTTGTCACGCATATCCTCAAAACCTTATACGTCCATTCGTAAAACGTAACATGTCCATTCGTGTCACGAACGTCCGATCAACAAGCGATGTCATGAAACGATGCTAGCAATGCCTGCAGGCATATCCTCAAAACCTTATACGTCCATTCGTAAAACGCAACATGTTCATTCGTGTCACGAACGTCCGATCAACAAGCGATATCATGAAACAATGCTAGCAATGCCTGCACTCCATGCACAGGTGTCTTATACTGCACCGTTGAGGGGACTCCTACTGCACCGTTGAGGGGACTCCTACTGCACCGTTGAGGGGACTCCTACTGGCCCCAGAACGCCATCCTCCCATTTTGAGGTCAATCCAATCGCACTGAACATCAAGCATGTTAGATACAGACACTTTTCGTTTGATATCCAGTCCCAGCAATGTTTCCCCTGCGGACTTAAGTCGGCCTCCTCCCTCCCATGACGATTAAAGAAAACAACAAGTTGGCACGAAAACCGAGTCAAACTGTCAATTCCAGAAAAGCACAAGGTGGTATTTTGCCTTCAGTGCGATACCTTTAGAGAACTGAGAAAACTCCAGCCTATCCACAACATGATGCACCCACCAACAAGGAGCAGAACACTTGTGCGTTCCCCAGAATCATCCGGACCAGAAAACATTCAGAAACTACCCGTCTCCTTACCTCATCCTTGAACAGCGATGTCAACGCTGTCTTTTTACGCGAAAGGTTTGGCACGACTGGAAGGACTTCCAGATAAGCTGGAAAGACTGATACTAAGGCCTTCTCGCACATTCGACAAACAGCAGTGAACAAATGGTATTCAAACGTTTGAAACCATTTCATACAGCCGTTTTCACGGCAAAGTTTCCGTTAAGGTTTCCTTAAGAAAGCAAATAGTCAACCTGCAAAGACGCTCCACTACGGAAATACATCAATTACCAGCGACAAAGCAAGTGCAGGCTTGGATTCAGAACGTCCGGAACGGCCACAATGAGACCTTCAAACACACTTTTTAGTTCCAGCGCCAAGACCAATCCAATTACCAGTTAAATGGTTCACCGAATGCCGCTAACCAGTTCGTCGTATCTTCATGCCTGAGCCGACGATAAAAATACAGCGCCATCGGGCATTCCACGATCAAGATACACCATTCAACCGGAGGTCGGCTATGGTCGCTCACACGCTATGTGAAGCATAATGCTTTGAAAACAGCGGCGAAATGTATCCGTCAATAACTAAACGATGAATCAGCAAATGACAATATGTCTGCCAACTGTTTCGATGGAAACGTTTCGGCCCGTGAACGAATGTTGTTACTACTCTTATACCCCTACCTTATACCCCTTATACCCCTTAAACTACTCTTATACCCCTACCCCATGCGCAACGTAACTTATGGAACGCAAAACAAAAGCAAGCACATTTTAAACCGAGACAAGTTAATCCGCAAAAGGCTTGGAATCTACGCTGACACTGTCACTACAAAGCGATCCAAAGAATAAGTCATCTGAGCCCCCATTTCTAAACACACCTACCCGATTCTATTCTGAGGGCTGCACTAAACGCAGGCGGTTAAGCCGGACGGTAGCACGTTCCTTGCCGAGCATCAGGCTGGAGCATTACTTACCAAGAACATCAGACACCACGACCATTGTACAAACTCGCGAGCATACCGTGCATTCAACTTATCACGTCCGAGCACCCAATACACGGTCCTGCTAAGGGCTGCCCGAAACACAGGCGATTCAGCCGATGTCTGTTTATACAAAACCATAACGATGACTTTAACCTATATGTATATATATATATATATATATATATATATATATATATATATATATATATGGCTGTTCAGCATTAGATGAAGTTAACCAATGTCTTGCGATTCTAATATTTGGAGGCCCGCGTTCTTTTCACATGTTGCTGAAATTTATCACATAAAATTGAGATTCTTGTACTTTGGTCAATTGCTGCATGTCGGTGTACGATGTTTTCGCATAGTGGTGTGTGCACTCTCCAATACGCATCATCAAAGCGCTCGTTAAGGCAATTTCGAGCGTTGTTTCTCCTACAGCAAATATCGCCAGGCAGAGGCTAACTGATACACTACATACCTTGTCCCTCCGTCTGCATTTTCCTTTCATTCCGCTAACACATGCACAGACAGCATATCCTCCCCCAGCTTAACATATAGGGGTCTCCCCAGTTGCTGGCACTTGCTTCGGACCACAAGCTCACGCCAACCCAAGGCATACAGAACGCGCGATCGCACAGCGGCATTGGTCCATGTTTGGACAGCTCACCATCTACAAAGAAGACCTTTACATATACCTAGTTCGTTTGCTGCTTTTCTGCAACTTCTTCGCGAGCCCGATGTAGCGTGAAACTGAGAACGTGCAATACAAGTGGTGGACATCACCCGGTGCTCCGCGTATGAATTCTCACGGAAGAGGAAGCAAGTTTTCGACTGTGGATCAGAAAACACACACACCGCTCTCCGACTTCATGAGATAAGGACCGCATTTAGCATCTAATCTGGACTTCAATGCATGAATTTCTGGGATCAGATCCCACCCTTCAGCAATGTTTGAGTGAGCCCTGAGCCCAACCACCCTTAGTGCGAGGCCAGGTCAACGGCAGACTTTGGTGGCGAACGTCTAACATTGGTGCCTCAATGCTCCGCACGGTCTCTCTTCTAACGTCACCCGATCTGCATAACGCGGCCGCCGCCACCGGCCGCAGGCCACACCTGCCAAGAGCAAACAGCGAGCGCCTAACGCGACTCGAACCCACCACGCCACGAGTGCGCTGGTTGGGAGGCAGGTGCTCTGACCTACTGGAGCGAGGAAGATTTTGAGCTTGATACTCGTGGTGTAAGCCAACAACTTTTCACAACGTATTGATTTCAGTAATTTTTTCCACACGCTTGGTATGACTGTGCGGTGGCGTGAAACAATCGCAAATCTGGTTTGGTCACATTCTGGGAGCTAAGGTGGCTCGTTTCCTAATTATTTCTTAGTGACTGGTTGTTTATTTTATCGGTGTTGTGCATGGTTGTTTGGCTGTTGAACCTGGATATGCGGTGAGATTTTGCGTGCTGGGTTACCGTGCGGGGATAGTCCCTGTTTATCCTTTCGCGGCGGCTGTCCGGCCTCGAGGCATTTCCAATACAAACAAGCGTACCAGAGATCAAACAAGGAACGAGACGGTGCCGTCGGACCGCTTAGGCCAACCAAACACGAGCGCACGCCGCTCGCGTCACTGCGGGGGCACAAATGGCATAGGAAATGGGCGTGCATAACGAGAGCAGGCAGCGGACACGTCCGGGCAAACAGCTTTCAGTAATTCCGAAAATAAATTGTAACTGGCGTCCAGCACCACTGAACGCCGCCTCTCTGAAGCCTCTGGACATGGGAACCGAGCTTTGCATTACCACAGCGCATGGAGCGGAAATGCGAGGAAAGGGAAGGGAACATCAAAAGAGATATCTAAGGCCTACGATGGAGGCACAGCAGAGAAGCTCAACAATGAGGGCAAAGACCTTAATAAAACGCTGTGCAGTCCTCGCATTGGCTACATGAGCACCCTCGCCTTTATAAACGCACCATTATGGAGAGCGCACACAGTAATGGGGGGAGACATCGCAGTCCGACTCGCAGAAGTGGACCATAGTGCAATAAATGCCAAAATCATCATACAATTTTAGTGACAGCTTACGATCATGCAGACCACAAGATCTTAGCATCACTACGCATCGACAATTTCGTCCGGAGCTGAACGCATAAGTCACGCTGAGTGCAGGTTTGAAATAAATTGTTTAGGTGCAGGAAGTTAGGAAATAGTTCTCCACTTGTAATGACCATCGATGCCAGCCGGCAAATTTCGTTCTACTCTGACGCTGGGATAGAACGGCCATCGTAATATCTCGGTTGAACCGCCGTGTTCCGCCGCTCCCATCAGCACCGTGTATTGATCACTGGGACGCGCAAAAGCTGAATACCCGGTACGTCCGTGAGGTTCGTACAATGGACATGGTAAGTAATATTCTCACATGATACAGATGATACTGACCTAGTAAGCCAACCTGAATGATAAAGCATATTTAAAGTTCAAATGCGATGAACATTCGCAATACCAGAGTCTCTTGAGAGACAAGAGCATGAACTCGTGGTGACTTTGTAAAAAAACATAAAATAATCCTACTTCTGATGTGATCTCTCGATGCGCGTAAGTGCAGCTTAAAACATATATAGCGTGCACTCGTAACAGATTGAAAAAAACAGCCAAGATGAACATCTTGACAATGCTCGACATCTTGAAAAGCTTGCCGCCACATCATTGGCGCTGATCTCGTAGCTATAACATAATCACGTAGACTAACGGCGAAAGAGGGGAGAGAGAGAGAGAGAGAGAGAGAGAGAGAGAGAGAGAGAGAGAGAGAGAGAGAGAGAGAGAGAGAGAGAGAGAGAGAGAGAGAGAGAGAGAGAGAGAGAGAGAGAGAGAGAGAGATTTGTGATATCCTGGTGCATGTATATGTGTGTGTATATATATATATATATAAGCATACATGCACCAAGCCTTAGCCCGCCCCACCTTTGCGCAACTGTCGTGACCACTGCATGGGAGCGAATATACAAGAGGACCGGTGCCCCACCTGGAGGGGAGACGTTTGCAGACACCGAAGGCGGACTGGCCGGCTTGCTGCGGCTCTCCTTCTGCTCCCACTCCAGCCAGGAGCCTGTCGACAAACGGCAGCAAACGCCCGTTCGGTGACAACGGCCGGACAGCAAATCACACGCGTTTAGTACACGCCAGCCGCACAGGTACAGACTATTTCGAGGATCAGCTTGGCATATGGAGCCTTGACGTTACGTTCGGCGCTACAGAAACCTTCGCAATCTTCATGGCAGATCATCGCTAATTGGGAAGAGTTATGTACTAGTTAGGTTCCCCACTAGTATCTCACTCATCCGAGTTCACCTACATCCATGTCGACATTCTGACTCTCGACTCATTCCGTTTCCAGTTTTATCCCTTTCGATTCTTCATCCTACCACATGGCGGATTTGATGGCCATCCCTTTCGAATTTCTTTCCCCGTCAACAATTATCCCGTCGGACTTTGTGTCGCTCAACTTTTTCCATTCGCCTTAGTGTCCGGGAACCACCGGCTGCAGGCTCGGCCCGGCCACTCAGCTGCCAGGCGCACCGCCGACGTCGATCGACCATCACGGCGCGCCGAAGCAGCTTCGGCCGCCGCGTCTACACCACGCGTCGTCCGGCAACCCACCGTCATCGGACTCGAGGCGCGGCGAGACGTCGGTGCCGTTGTCGTCGGGCGGCGCCGGCGCGCCCGGCACGCTGGGGATCTTCAGCGTGAAGCGGCCGGCCACCGCCGGCGCCGCCAGCGGCGAGCACGACAGGTTGAGCGGCGTGGTAGGCGGCAGCTCCGCCGGCGAGCTCCCGCCCCAGCGCGCGCCCCGTCGGCCGCCTTGGCGCGCTTCGTTGGCGACTCGTCATCCGGCGGCGGACGTTGCCGTACCGGCGCCGGCAGCGAGAACGGGTCACCCCAGTCGGCCTGACGGTGAACAGAGGTGCGTCGGTGAACGGCGAACAGCACAGCCCCACAGCTGGGACGGCGGGCTCAGCGGCGCAACTGTACGGCAGGAGGCAGAGGCGGGCAACGGTACCAGTGTAAGAAAGCAGAGGCGGACAACGGTACCAATGTGGCAAAGCAGAGCCGGGATTAATAATCTTTAAACATGGTCTGCGGAGTTCGTCGAAGAGTTGGGCTGTTCGGGCTCACGGTCGCGATCATGAGCTACTGCTTCACACTCTTAACTGGCGGACATCCACACAAAGGGCCGCAATGTGTTCACCCGAATACCTTCTTGCTGAATGCATCTAACTGAACCTTTATCTTGTGCACGTGTCTTTTTACCGCCGTTTTAATAAGGCCAAATGCCGGAGGCCGGACGGTCATTTGCCGTCATGTCTACTGCTAACGTGGCAGATTGACAACATTTTGATACGCTGAAATGGATATCCACCGAATACCAACTGACCAAATTGTTGTTCACTGGAATGTCAATTTACCGAAATCCTTTCTTCACTAACCTAGTGCTGACTGCCGAAAGTTTTTTTTTACACAAATGCTCATTTCCCGTAGTGCTTTCTAATTGAGTGCTAATTAGCCGTCATGTTTCTTTGTCCTTCAGACTGTTCAGTACAGTGCAATTATAAGGCGTATCAATCAACACGTCAACAGGTGCTAATTGCCCTACAATATTGAGCACAACAGAGCCAATTACAACACCTATTTTACCGTGCACAATGTCGGGCACGACCCAACATCGCACGAAAGCAGGGACACCACCAAGACTTACTATTCCGAACAATTACACAAATGCTATATCCATACGCGACAAATGCTATATCCAATATCCACACGTGACACTCGAGGAATTACTCAGGTTCAGCCACTATTTAAATTCTCTTCAATAAACTATCAAATTCACTCTGGACAACACTCCCCTATCAGGGGAAGAAGCATTTTCGGATACGTATCAAGTTCACTCTGGACAACACTGCCCAATCAGGGGAAGTAGCATTTTCGGATAAGTTATCAAGTTCACTACAGTTAACACTCCCCTATCAGGTAAAGAAGCATTTTTGGACAAATTATCAAGTTCACTCCAGACAACACTCCCCTATCAGGGCAAGTAGCATTTTTGGACAATTTATTGCCAGTTGATGTGACACTCACATATATAAACCATATTATACAGCCCCCCTCCGCTTTCAGAAATAATCGTTCACTCGTGCATCACACTAACCGATTTCAACGAAGAACAATGCCACTCGATCGGTATTTCATCGGGTTATGAATGCCATCCTTCTCAGACGCCAGCGCCCGCTCATACCAAAAATTCGGAATCTGTTCGAAGCGAGCCACGACGAGAAACACCTTGTGTGCAGATTTCACCGCGAAGTCGTCTATTCGCGCCAACGTCATCAACTATCCCGACACCCGCGGCGGCGGCAGTCTGCATCTGGACATCTTGATACTGTTCTTACTCTTCCTTATGTCGATGAGACCATGTGCGTATAAGTGGATTTTGTTGTAAAAATATCAAAGCGTAACCTATAAATGGTATGGCAAAACAAAAACATCTCGAAATCCGGCTCATTCGCTCGGCCTATTCTGACCCGAAGTGTCCACCTGGTAGACGAGTGCGCAGTGCGTGCAAAACAGACTGAAAGGGGAAAGGATTGACGTCTGGTGTTACATGTTGTGTTCCATGCGTTACAAGTGTGGGCAAGGATGAAAATATATCTGATGTAGGGAGTCGAAACAACCAATTACACTAAGAATTAACGAGCACATAGTCGGTGTAAAAAATAAAACCACTGAAACGCCTACCGGCGACCATTGTCCAAGACTACCAAATCAGTCCAAGACTACCAAATCTCACGTGATCAAATCCCTTTCTAAGTGTGATTTTGGGGAAAACCAGGGATCGTGTCGTCTGCGCAATACGCAAGGCTGAAGGGGACTTAAGCGGCTGGGGAGGCGAAACCCCATGGCGATTTCGCGGAGAACTAGTCGTTTGTGGTCCAGGACGCCGCACATCGACTTCACTGGGACGCACCGCAATGTGCCACGCACCGATCCATTGGACTGGTGCACGGGGTTTTGTGGGCCGGGCAGTGTTGGGTCGCGACTATTCCTTACCAACAATCGCTGAGTGTTCTGTGAAGGGCTATGTCCATCATTGTGACTACCCTGGTCCTGTTCTTGCGGAGCTATGTCTCAATATACCTGGTGTCGGGGTGGTGAGGTGCATTGCCACTGTGTCGGGATCAACTGTTCCCCTTCTTGCCAGAAACGTGACTTCTGGACACATTACTTTACCCCAGCATTCTCAGACCTGTGAATTAGAGGTTAGCTTTCAGGAGCAAGCGGAGGGTGCCGGTAGTGTAGTGGTGAACACGTCTGCGTTAACCACCGCGCGCCTGGGAAACCAGAGGTACGGGGTTCGATTCCCCGCGGTGCCCGCCCTTCCTGCCAGGGTGAGAGGCAGGCGACGCCATATAGCCTCAGCAGCTGAGTGTGTCGTTAAGCCCCAATCACACACACACACACACACTCAGGAGCAAGCGGCTGAGCCTCATCCTGAGCTGAACGAGGCTGTAGGCATTAAGTCCATGGTTGATTTGTCCAGTGCTGACCTCGCATATTCGCGGCGACAGGTCTTGTTCAAGGTTTTGAAAAGGCACAGCAGTGTGTTTGACGGCCATTTGGGCCACACCACTCAAGTGACCCACCGCATTGACACAGGAGAGCATCCCCCGACCCGTCAGAGCCCCCACTGCATTCCTCCGCGTTTGAAAGAGCAAGTTTGGACACAGATGGATCAATTAGTCAATGAGCGCGTTCTCGATAAATCTGAACGTACCAGGGCTTCGCCCATTTGTCTTGTGAAAGAGAAGTCTACTGAAATTCGTATCTGTGAGGACGTGCGTAAACTCATTGCGTGTACTGCCCGCGTACCCGAATCCTCTTATGGATGATACTTAAGATGCATTGGCTGGGTCCTTTCTGTGTCGTGTACTTGACATGAACGCAGCTCACCACCAAGTGTCAATTGATCCGGCTGACCGTGGTAAGGCAACCATCACTACCCCGCTAGGAAGCCTAAGGTACAGGCGTATATGCTTTGGACTGAGTTAGGCGCCGTTTACTTGTTGCAAGCTACTCTACATCGTGCTTGGTGACATGCCGTCCGAGTCTTGCTTGCGTTATTTCAACGACATTATCATTCATGGCAAGCCTTCCCCAGACGTCCTCACAACGCTGGATGAGGCCCTCCTCAGGCTGCGTGCCGCAGGTCTCACGCTTAACTTGACGAAGTGCCAGTTTTTCAGAAAGAAGGTGAAATCTCTCGGTCATGTGATCTCTGGCCTGGGCATGAAGACTGATTCCGAAAAATTTCAGAAGGTGAGTGACTGGCCGCAACCGCGGATAGCCAAGGACTTGCCCAGTTTCCTTGGGTTTTGCTCTTGCTTTCTTAAATGTGAAAAATTTGGCTCCCATTGCTGCTCCCCTTTTACGCCTCACAGGTAAGGGCGTTCTGTTTCAGTGGCCATCAGAAGCCGACGAGGCATTTGTGAGTCTAAAGACGGCTCTCACAGAAGCTCCGATAGTTGCTTTTCGCCGGTTCGGGGACGGGGCAGGCACCTTCACATTAGACTGTGATGCAAGTGACCAGAGCATTGGAAGCGTTTTGCTGCAGGAACATGACATCGAGCGTGTAATTGCCTACGGCAGCCGTCACCTGTCCAAGGCTCAGAAAAACCACTCTACTACTAAAAAATAGCTTTGACCGTGTGCTGTTTTTGTTCAGGAGTTTTCTCATCATACAAAGGGCAAGGATTTCAAATTGCGTGCTGACCACAGTAGCCTTCGGTGGCTGTATTATTTCCAAAGCCCCACCGATACGCTAGCTCGGTGGCTTGATATCCTCGGAAATTTCCATTTTCGGAGTGTTTATCGCCCGGGCGTGCAGAGCTCTGTGGCAGACGCATTCAGCAGGCGACCGTCTGAGCTGGAGAACGTCGCTCGCCAGACGGAGAGCTGTTTTCGAACCTCTTCCCGCGACTGGCCTCTCAGCTTCACCCAGAGCAAGCAGGCGAAGGACGAGGTGCTGGTGGAGCTGTCACGCTTGTTGACTTTGGGGCAGTGCCCCGCCCGGCGTGCCGTCTCCAGTGCCGTCAAGCCATGGCTGCGACACCGGCCGCGGCCGCCGCTTCTTGACGGTGTGCTCTTCCGAGTATATCTTCGTCGGCCGCAGGCTCAGGAGAGCTTGCAGGTTATCATTCCGCCAGAGTTGGTCGCGGAAGTACCCACATCCCTCCGCGCCGGTCCCTGTGGTGGTCACTTCGAGAAAGAAAAGCTGTTCAAGAACGTGCAAAGCCGGTTCTTCTGGCTAGGCATGTCGGCTGACGGGGGAGGTTTTGCTACCAGTGTGACCGCCGCACCGGCCGTAACTCTCCTACACCACAGCCGACGGCATTTATGGGCGAGCTGTATTCGTCCAAGTCCTTGGAAGTGGTATCCATGGACTTTCTTGCAAGATCTTCTAACCACGGCTAACGGTAACAAACATCTTTTGGTTGCATCGGATCACTTTACTCGGTGGGTGGAAGTGTTTCCTCTGCCCGATATGTTGGTCATGACTGCCGCCGAAACATCTTCGCAAGTGTTTTCTCGGTGTGGGTGTCCCACGTACCTTCATACCATACGTACAAACGTACGTACCATACGTACGTGTGTGCGGCCAATTTCAGGGGTCAAGTAGCGTCAGAGTTGTGTCGCATTATGGGGATCCAGAAAACAAACATAACTGCGTTTCACCCACACGGTAACAGCCGCCATGAGAGGGTCAACAGCACTACCCTGGGGATGCTGGCCAAGTATCTGTCAGAGAACCATGCCGCGTGGGATAAACATTCGCCCCTGCCTATGCTCAGGTACAGCGCCCAGATCCACAAATCACTGGGCTACAATCCCCTCTTCATGATGCTTGGTCGCGAGCCCAGGCCACCCGTTGACGCACAGACTGACGTACCGTCTGCAGCCCGCTCTAGGTCAGCAGCCGCGCATGTGGACGAGCTACGTGCGGGACTCCGTGCCGCCTACCGTGAGGCAATACGCATCTCTGATGTTAGACACCAACAGAACAAAGGGTTCTATAAGCGTAACCTAAACTCTTTTCATAACATGTCGGTGACAAGGTTATGCTGCTCCGTGGCATCGCCAAACTAGGCGAGTACCATCAATTTTTTAGGCCTTGGAAGCCGGCTGTCGTTGTTGCCAAACGGAGTGACCTGAACGTGTGAGGTCGGAGGTCGGAGGACGGTAAAATGTCGTGTGAACGTCACAATAGGCCTGAGCCACGTGCCGTCCCTCGGAGAAGACTCTATCCAGCTTCTGAACGCCTGGCCTGCTCGGTGACTGCTCCTGCGCGGTTCACCCCTGACTGCGGACCAGTCCGGAGGCGACGGCGGTGGTGTCGCTCACAAAGGAATGTCAGTTGACGTTCAGACCGGCACCGCTGCCCCGTCGGCCCGTGGTAGCCGCGAGCTGTGACCGCGGGGCATTGCAATCAACGGATTAGCCCCGTGGCGATGACGTATCTGCCGGCGAGTCCAGGATTAGTCTCCAGCCTGCGCAGGAATCCCCTGGAACACCGAGGGTCCTGGTGTTGCGGCTGGTGCCTCCAGTGACGATGCGACGGTCGGATCACAAAAAGCGACCGCCTGACCGCTGCGGCTTCTCGTTAAGGTAACAGGTTAAGGTCTGTCCGTGGGCGCCTGAATCCGCGGAGCCTTTGGACTCTTCCATCCTCTCTCGCTGTCGGATACCTGGTCGCATCGCTGCCCGTCCGCTGTCTGTAGCGCCTCTGGTTTGATGGCTGAAGGGCGTCGCATCGCTGCCCGTCCGCTGTCTGTAGCGCCCCTGGTTTGGTGGCTGAAGGACGTCGCATCACTGCCCGTCCGCTGTCTGTAGCGCCCCTGGTTTGGTGGCTGAAGGGCGTCGCATCACCGCCCGTCCGCTGTCTGTGGCGCCCCTGGTTTGGTGGCTGAAGGGCCCTCAGCCACCAATCTTGCGCATATAAACTGCCTTGTGGGGCGAGATATGTACGGCGCCTGCTGGTGTCGTGGAACTGTGTCTACGACAGCCTGTTTGTGTGTTTCTGGTCGCTCAGCTAATTGTGTTTTCTCACGTGGTTTTGCCTTGTTGTTACCTTGTGAAACATGCGTTTTCTGGTCCCCAGCGACTTTGAGGAAACGATACCGCCGGCTGGGCCTTCTAGTTCAGAGTGCAGCAGAGTGTAGCGGGTCTCCACAGCTGCCTGCGTGCAGCTGATCGCATTGGTGGTGCACTGCCTTGGATGCTGGACCGGCCGGCCAGGCCGGTCCGGTTCGATCCAAGCCGCCGGCTCGGGTCACCTTGTCCGGGGCGTCGCGCCGGGGCGCAGTCATGCGGGGCGCGCGGTGATTGGTGCGTGACCATGTGACCCGTGTCGGGATCGGGTCGTCGGGCCGCGGGGAGTGGGACTGCTGGATCTGAACAGGGCGAGTGCGGAGATTCTCGGAATGTCAGTGGCCAGCGGAGCGGAAGCTTGTTGGATGTATCTCGAACCATGTCATCAGGCAATCTCGGCCAGGGTTACATTATTATGCCCACCCCTACCCCCTCCCCCTCCCCGGCACCCCTCGATATCTACACCCTGGCACCGAAACACGAGCTTTGCATTACTCAAATTTCATTAAGATGCATGGCGTAAATGCCTGAGTAATACTCAATTAATTTTTCACTCATGTTATACGTTAAACCTAAATTTCAAATCTAAATCTTGTGTTTTGCAGCTTTACCTGCCAATCAACGATCAGCGCCATCATTTGCCGCCCTCTAAGCTTGAGGCGTCGGCTGTCTCGCTCCAGGGCCGCTCGCTCCGGGGGACGCTAACCCGCAAGGAAATGTCCGTTCTAGCACTCCTGGAGGACGCTCACTCCTGAAAGACGCTCGCTCCCGAGGGACGCTCGCTCCAGGGGGACGCTCACTCCCGAGGGATGCTCACTCCCGAGGGACGCTCGCTCCAGGGGGACGCTCACTCCCGAGGGATGCTCACTCCCAAGGGACGCTCGCTCCAGGGGGACGCTCACTCCCGAGGGATGCTCACTCCCGAGGGACGCTCGCCCCAGGGGGACGCTCACTCCCGAGGGATGCTCGCTCCGGGGACGCTCGCTCCAGGGGACGATCCCACCCGGGGGACGCTCGCTCCGGGGACGTACGCTGCAGGGAACGTTCGCTCCCGAGGGACGCTTGCTCCAGGGGGACACTCACTCCCGAGGGACGCTCGCTCCAGGGGCACGCTCACTCCCGAGGGACGCTCGCTCCAGGGGGACGCTCGGGGACGGTCCCACCCAGGGGACGAACGTTCGGGGACGGTCCCACCCCAGGGACACTTGCTCCCGGAAGATGCTCGCTCCCGAGGGATGCTCGCTCCCGAGGGACGCTCGCTCCCGGGAACGCTCGCTTCGGGGACGCTCGCTCCAGGGGGGGGGGGAGCTCGCTCTTGGGGGACGCCAGCTCCCGAGTGACGCTCGCTCCAGGGGACACTCGTTCCGTGGGACGCTCGCGCCCGATCGATCGCGATTGCTCTGACAAACATAGTCGGACGGTGCGCGGCCCACAGCTGTCGCCCGTCCGACCCACAGGTGGCCGGCCGCCGGCCTCCAGGCACCTGGCGTCACGCCGCGCGGCATGCCATGCGTTCCGCTGGAGCTGGCGCAGTCCCACCGAACACCAATGTCAGAGCTTTCGAGTCTATTCCGGCGGCGCGTCTCCCGACTGCGGCTGAACGCGGGGACTGCGCGCCTCGCTGCCGCCCAATGTCTGCAGCGGTATTTGAATGTGGCGGTCCAGCACGCGAGCCCGGAACTGAGCGCTTACCACGGCGTCGGCGGGCGGCGGCCGCTCTTCTCGCAAGTGTGACGGGGTCAGACCCTTGATGCTCAGCGCCTCAGCAGTCTTCAGCAGGGACGGCAGAGCGCTGTTGGACACCTGCCGGCAAGAAGCAGCGTCAGCTTCGCAGGCCGCGACCGACAAAGCTAGCCAGGCTTGGCACCGTAAAACGTATGCGTTGTGTGCTTCTGAGTCGACGAATGCGAGCACAACGCACGTGGGGTGAAATGCGCCCGTGATAAAGATAGCAGTACGGCTCGGACGTGATGAGGGGCATGATGGATATTACTCGTCCCCAGCGTTCCACCCGCGTTCTATATATCGCAAACGGATGTCTGGGCCGGTGTTCCCCAATTCGGGCCGTTAAGTGACGGGCGAACTCAATTTAATTCAATCAGCCGACGAGCTCAACAAATTCTTCATTGCCGTCGGCCCAAAGTGGCCGCTCAACTTGCCGCCCAGGGACCGGCCGTCGACCTCGCGAGCCGTCTCCCCCGAGTCGTGGCTGCCCGTTCGAGCTGCCACCCGTCCGCCCCGGAAAGCTGACAAACGCGGTCTTTAGCATGCGCGGCTCGGTAGCCTGCGGTGCTGACAGCGAGTGCATCCGTGTGCTGAAGGCCGCTTTTCCTGCGATCGGTGACGTCATCCTCCACAGCGGTAATTCCTGCGTAGTCCATTGCGATATCCCTGATTCATGAAAATATTCCCTTGTCCCCCCCCCCCCCCCCCACACACACAGTCCGGTGATTTATCCCACCATTCCAACTTCCAGCCTATATCGCTTCTCCCAGTCATCACCAAGATCGCGGAGCACGCCGTCCAACGCCAGCTCCAGTATTATCTTTCCCACAACTATCTCCTCTCAGCCTCCCAGCACGGCGTCCGTCCTCGTCACTCGACAGAGACCGCGCTGGTCTCCCGTCTCCAACCGTGCGCTCGCCGCCAGCGACAGCGCGGAGGTTTCACTGCAGCGCTTAATTGATCGCAGTTAAGTACTTGACGTGATTGATCACGACTTAGTAATTCGTAAATTCAAAACTGCACGGCACTGAGAGCTCCTGGTTTCCGGCCTATCTCCTGGGCACATCTAGAGCGCATATATTCCGACCCTCCGCGCCATGGGTCGGGACGCGGGCTGACCTTTCTGTCGCTTCCCAGTATGGGTGTCTTTCAGTGGTCGGTTCTCGGACCACTGCTTTCACCATTTTCCCTCACGTCCTTGCATTATTTACGGCCGGCGCCAAAATACTTTAGCATGCTGACGACACTAAAGTCTTGGCGAGGGGCACGGAATACGACCTAAGGGACCTCATCTCCCGCATGGAAAACCCTCCTCGAATCGCTGGGTCGATGGTTACGTGTAAATTCTCTTGACGCCAATGCAAACAAAACACAATCGATCACTTTCGCAATTTGGCAGCATCTGTGTAGCCCAACTTAGCAGAATCTGCGTATCCCAACTTAGCAGAATCTGCGTAGTCTCTCAAATATTTCTGTCTGCTTTCTCGGTGCCACGCTAGAACCATGCGAGGTGAGAAACCAGGGTGTCACCTTCGACCGGGTCGCGTCATGGGGCACACATGTGCCACTGCTGAGCCGCCGTGGTAACGGCATTCTGGCCGGCCTGTCATATGTGCGTCACAGCATTCCGCATGCTGCCATTGCCACCTTAGTCACTGCCCCGGTTCTATCGCACGACCGACACTGCCTTTCCGCCTACAGTAATGGATCATAAAAATAAGCTGGTCAAGGTTTAGAAAAAAATTAACATTTCCGCAAGAGTCATATCCGACCGTCACAAATTTGACCACGCGTCGGACCAGCGGAAGAAGCTAGGGTGGCTAACTGTACGACAGCTGGCGGACCGCAGACTGCTCGTCGCACCTGCGGAAGAAGCTAGGGTGGCTAACTGTACGACAGTTGGCGGACCGCAGACTGCTCGTCGCACCTGCGGAAGAAGCTAGGGTGGCTAACTGTACGACAGCTGGCGGACCGCAGACTGCTCGTCGCACCTGCGGAAGAAGCTAGGGTGGCTAACTGTACGACAGCTGGCGGACCGCAGACTGCTCGTCGGACCTGCGGAAGAAGCTAGGGTGGCTCACTGCACGACAGCTGGCGGACTGCAGACTGCTGACACTTATGTGCCGAGGGGGAGACCAGGCAGGAGATGCTGCTGTACCTCTCCAGGCCGGGGACTGAGGCCGGGAGGAGGCGGTCTGGGTACCGAGTCACGACTGCTTACAACTGGATGGCAGACGACGTCAAGCCGCTGGCCAGGTTTATTACAGGCTTGTTATAGGTTACCAGACGAGGTCAAGTCGCAGTCATCAGCTGCCCGTCGGATCTGAATGCATGCCTTAAGATCGTCTTACCTGTACTGCACTTTTGTCTTCTCTGGGGATGAGAGAGAGAGAGGGGGGGGGGGGGGGGGCTATTTCGGCTTTAGGGCACGACGAACGCACGGCCATGCAGCACTGTTAGCTTATCCTGTGTGCGTGCATTGCCATTTGTACGTATGGGTACGGCCATGCGGCACTTCTATCTTATCCTGTGTGCGTGCATTACCATTTGTACGTATGGGTGAGCGCATGTCTTGACCCAATATGTCGTGTATGTTTTGACCTTCACCATGACTCTCGGCAGTAAAAGCCACAGGTTCGTGTGGACTGCCTCACGCCAAAAAAAAACGGCCTAATCCTTGAATGGTTTGGGTTCATTTTTGAAAGACCTTCGGAACAGTTATTTTACGACGGTATTTCTCACGCGCACGGCGCCTGCCGTCTGGTGTCACCTGTACTGGCCAACGCAGTTGGGCTTTACGAAGACAACTCCAGCCATCATTGCTGCCTGAGATCGCGAGCGTGCAAGGTCCAAAACCACTTATCTTATTTGTCTCACTCGCTGATTCTGCAAAAAAAGTTCCCAGGCAAACATGGGTTGGCTATTCCCATGCTTAACCTCATTTCGATCCACCCCATTCAACATCTCTTAGACCACTTATGTTTTGCGGACAAGGGGCCCCGTTAGAGGATCATTGGGTGGCACATTATCGCTACCGGTCCAGGGCTGAACGGTCATTTAATCCCAGCGCGGGGTGTTTCCGGCTGCCATTCTGGCGACACGGGTGTACGGTCTTCTGGTCAATTCGGAGGCTCTTACTTTAGATTAGGATTCTTTAGATTGGGTTGGATTACTTAGATTGGGAGAGATACATCACGCCATCTCAAGCTTTATGAATATATCCTGTGGGGGCTGTAAGCAGTCATGCAGAAGAACAAAGGCTACATAAAACGACAGAATGGAGCCTTCCGTATTATAGGAGCCTCGGGTTGCCACTAAATATCCCCGTCCGCCGTGCGTGATAGTTTACGATTATGCCGCTTACCACGTGACGCTATTGTGTCCAGTGCGCCAAACACAAATGAAATCTGGAAATTCAGCGAGTAAAAGCTAAACACAACTTAAATCTGAAAAGGGAAATGGCAGTTGGCAATGCTGCCGCCCACCTTGAACAGTGTGGGGGGCATGACTCCGTGTCCCTACCTGCTCTTACATCCATGCATTCACATGTTCGGCTTTGGTACTATTCTAAGCTATTGGGCTGGAAGTATTTGTAACAGTTACATTTATCGGCTGTAAATATATCTAGAATTAAAAACTCCAGATATCTAAACATGTAAAATCTCTAGCACCCTCAAACGTCTCTAGGACGAAAAAAGCACTAGAACATGTCTAAACCTCCTTGAAAAGCGCTCATTTCATCATCATCATCATCAAAGCGTATTCCAATCGTCCCATCCGAGACTGAACTGTGCCTGGCTTCCAAAATGTTATCTGATATTTCGTTTAAAAAGTAGCTTTCAGCGTCTCACCACTTGCCAGTTGAATCAGCCAGTTCCGGGATCGCAAGGCGATGCCTACTTTTTAATTGGTTCGGGCGACCATCGGACGATGTCGTACTCGTTTCTCATTGGTTCAAATCGCGTCATTTCTGGACCCTCCGACCATGAGTCACTTCCGATGCGCACCTTATATGGGCTGTACTATTGGTGACCGCGAGAGGCTCCTACTCTCTCAGGGCCCCAAGACGCGGAATCGCTTTCAGTTGTGTGTGTAAATGTTACGATGTGAGTGTTGGTGAGTGTAAGTGTAATAGAAAATAGAACTCCTGTTTGACAAGATCTCTCTTTGATACTCGCCAGAAGGACTGGCACGAGCGAGGTCTCCAATAGTATTAACTATCACGCAGGCAGTTAGAAATCTGCCACAGTATAATTTCCGCACTAACTGGCACCAATGTCCGACTTCACGAATCACACAAAGCGTGATTCGTGTTTGAACATTGCATTGACTGCAAAGCCGATTTTACGTGTCTAAGCCTATAAGCCTGCCTATACTCAACATGGCCACTGAGGTGGCAAAATTTGAATGACGTTTCTATGACGTCATGCATGTCTGATTGACCTTAAACTAGTCTGCAGGAAACAGTCCTTGGGGGTAATTGATGATAATATGATGACCTTGAATAAGTCAGCCAGGAAACGTCTGCACATCTTTCAAGGGGTCTAGCTCAGAAGCTAAGGGACTGTGTGCCTAAAGAGCGGCAGGGTTGTGGACTGCTCCGAAACATCTTCAAATTGGCTTTCTCAGTTTAAAACTCCGCGCAAATATGTAAAGCTCCCTTGAACTATGAGCTAATGGTTTTATACCCAGGAACATGAGGTGCTGGATCACTGCAAATACTGATATTTCAGTGGCCATATAGCGTTTTTTATCATGAGCACAATACAAATGAGGTGGGGGTGACGCGTGACGTTTCTATAACGCCATACACGTCTGGATAACTTTCAAACAGGTGTTGCGAGATGGGCTGTACATGTTCGCGCGCGTCAAAGTCAAAACAAGAGGGCTTGAAGCCTTAAAAATGGTCATTCCCCGCATGAACTGCAGCAAATGATACTGTTTGATCAGGTCAGTGACCGCCATGTGATCAGGGTAGTCGATGCACGCTTAAGCCAAAGTTATCACTATATCTTGGTTCAAAACGCCGTACAAATGTGAAACAGTCCCCTGAAGCATCCTGGGTATCTTATGACCATTTCGTAAAACGCATGTAATGGTTTGGAAATTCAACAACAGTACCCACCATTATGTTCAGGTACAAACTCCCTGACAGGTAAACATCATACGTCTTATATGGCGTGAAAGCCATGTGCGATCCATACCCTATCCCATCGCATCCCATCCAGTTCCATCCCATCCCATCCCATCCCATCCCATCCCATCCATCCATCCCATCCCATCCCATCCCATCCCATCCCATCCCATCCCATCCCATCCCATCCCATCCCATCTACTGTTCAAATGCGTTCCGTTTTTTAACTGTGGCTCACGTTTGACGCCGGTCTTTTGAAAGAGCTAAGGGTGTGTAACAGCAATTCCGCTAGAATATTGATCGTGCATAACAAAACTTGGGCGCTGTTTGTTGATGGGCGCCTCGAAAGCTTTGATGTTTTGTATAGGAAGCCGGCATGGCGTTATCTGACACGTCTCCGTCCATCAGACAACGAGATTGTTTGTTGGCCGGTGGCTGGTGATTTGTCACGCACCTCAGCGATCGGGGTGGCGTGGTGTTAATCATTGTACGGTCAATAAGCTTCTTCGTTTACATGCGTATGCTGATTAATGGACCACGAGTCTGTAAGAAAAAAAGCTCTCGCTCTCGTTTGTTTTCGTCCCCGCGCCAGACAGCAGAGGCACACATATTTGTGGAAAAGGGGCATGACGTTTACATTATTTGTGGACATCCCTTGAGCGACTCTTGGCTGCATCCTAACAAGGGGAACGTCTAAATTCAACAAGAATCCTCATCATGCCACCGGACAGAACTCGAGAAGCAGACCCTTCACCACCCGTCCTATGCAGCACCATACAACACGGCCACTGACCCCCCCCCCCCCCCCCCCCATGGACCCAACAGGTTTGCCACCTCGCATCCCCGGGCCATCTCATCCGTGCCAGTCCGTGCCCAATCGACACACACTACCGGCTGTGAAGCCTTCACACCGCCCTAACCCGACCACGGGCACCACGCCCTCAGACTTAGCTTGCAACCTGTCTGCCATGAGCTCTAGCTTTCACTCGCGCTGTTGCAAATTCTCATCTAGCCATTGACAGAGCACGGTCACGGGCGACATGAGCGGGTATTGCGTTTTTACTTAAGAGTCCCCGCTGTTCGTTGATTCTGGGGACCGGGAGACGCAAGAATTTCCGCGTCCAACCGCATTGTCCAGTGTAATTTAACCGCTGTGTTGCCCATTGCATAGGAAATAGGTTCGTTTTTCGCGGACGATTTTTAGGATATTATGTTTGTTGCGGACCCTAGTGCCTACCAGCATTTTTGTGCAGACACCTACCATTACTTTTGCGGACCCATGCAATCACAAATACGCCAAAACTGGCGCAGCATAGTACCGAAGCTGGTCATTGACGCCCAGCCGTGATGGAGACTGAGCGGGAGCGGAGCGTCGGCCTGCGTCGGCACTCCACCGACGGCCGGCATCGGAAGGCCTCACACGCCGATGTCGCCCGCACCGCCATTGCCTCGGCGATGGGTGGCCGGCCGGCGCCAGTCACCGGGCTAATTTTGGACACACCAGGCGCGCTGCGGGCCGTCATACGGGCCCGACCGCTGCGACGGCCGGCGGCCAGTGTTTGCTCACCTGCACCTCGCCCTGGTAGATGAAGGCCAGCAGCGTCTGGATGTCCGAGAACTTGGAGTCGCGGATGACGATGACGGGGTGCTGCATGGAGGGCAGCGTCTGCGGCACAACCCACACCGCATCACCGGCAGCTCACACCGCCCCTCACCCCTGGCACTGAGCACACAGCTCACTGCGAAGTCGAAAGGTTCAAACGTCCCACAAATAGATACGCAGCGAGCATGCGGCGAAAACAGCTGCCAATCGTACAACCAAACGGAATCTTAGTTGACTTTCCGCGCGCCGAAAATAGGCCGGATGAATAACCCTTCCGACCAGACTCAATTCATGTTACAACTCCTCAATCCCTCTTTCAATTCCCGACCCGACTTGGAGGTTATTACCAGCCATGCAAAAGGGATCAGACAGGGATCTGGCCGCACTCTGACCGATGGCACCGGAACTATTGATACCTGCATTCAATATCGAATGTCAGCGGTCTTCGCCCACAACGCCCGCCAGCAGGACGGGACGCGTGATAGACGGCACAGAAATGGACTGCCCAGAAGTCGCCAAAAGCGTAAGAAGGCTCCACTTGAATACCGCAGACAGATACGGGAGCAGCCAGACATATACCACCAAAAAGACGTCTCCACGCGATGCCCAAGTGGTGACAGCAGGCAAGTAGGAAAATGCTACACAGCCTGCTGGGCAAGGGTTACGTACCTTGAAGAGCTGTTTGAAATAGGGGCTGCACGCTGAAAGGACGACGCGGTGCGCGCCGACAGTGCGACCTTCGGCAGACAGCGTGACGTCCACCAGCTCCTCGCCCACGAGCTGCTCGTGAAGCGCTGACGATATTGAAGATTGAAAATTGTTCCATCGGAGGTTGAACATCTGCTGGCCACCCGAACACATCCTGGCAGATTGCCTACCGAACAGGACAATTCGTTAACACGAAAATGTTGCTGTCAACAACAGGCACATTTAGATGTCGCGGTAAGCTGCAGACGCTGCGTAAACGAAACAGATACAGGCTTTGACTTTAACCCGCTAGTATTCACTATTTAACACGGCTTCCTCAATATCACAGCGTTTCAAAGGCGCTGACTTACGGACACCAACGCTAAGCAATAAAATAATTTGTATGGCTCTGGATGGGTATGCACTCCAAGGATAAGAAAGAAAAAGCAATCCATCTGCCACACATACATTAATCAACATAAACACAATTCAAGCCACCATTTTGTGAAACCGCATTGTCTCTGCCATCACCGGGCATGCCCTACAAACAAAGGGGCCTCCACAACAATGTCAGAGTTCCAAGATTCCAATTGCTTTTCTTGTCACGCTCGTGGTTTGTTTAACGATCTAGCTATTCACATATCACGAACAACCTGTCCATGACACCCAATGACGGCGAAAGCTTATTCAACTTCCACGCTAGTTCAAGGGCATATATGCTCGCACTAACGGAAACCATGCCAGCTGAAAGTAGGCGCAACACTTCAAGCTCGCAGCTGTTTCACGTACGACAATGCATCAGATATGAAAGCATCTATGATCGCTTGGAACGAACCAGATCATGAATCCTCCTTTTCCATATAACTGGGTTTTTCTAATGTCATATACCCTCTGAATTCCTCTAAATACCAGAGAATGTGCTGCCATAGAATGCGATGGACACGACGCACATACCATCGACAGCCAGGCAAGAATTCGTGCCGAATCCTTGCCACGCGGTTGGGATTACTCACTTATCTCCCTTATGACCCAGTCATGCTATTAGATCAAACGCACATTCCAGAAGTAGGGTTATTGTGAACGGGCTCGCGGACATTTCCGAAGTAGGGTTATTGCGAATGGGCTCTGGGTATTGTGAATGTTTCGCACCTCACCGGATTCAGCTTTGGCTCCCTACATGAGAACTACTGACCAAGTCGTGAAATACACTTTTCCTTTCTCGGAAAGAGCGAGCAGTCCGCTTTGATGCCACCCGGCAAGACAATAACAGGACAAAGGGAAAGGGAGACAACAGAATTTCTCACGACGTCCCAGACAGGGCTCTTCTCTAGTCACAGTACTTAGTGTCCATTAATTTTCCATGCGCTTCAATGTTCGGCTCAGCTGGAATTGGGTTCATAACACAAGAAAAGTATAGCTTGTTGTTCATGCATTGAATCTAGCACCCAGGTACCTGTACGCCAGTGTCGGTGTTTTGCAGCCAGCATTTTTGTCAGATCGCATAACTGAAAGATCATTTTAGTATGATACAATACTATGACAAAGCTGCTCAGCACTGGGTTGGCCCTATCTGGGCAGGTGCTAGCCTTCCACTATGGCTGTGGTTGGCATACAAACTGTTTTCCCTGTCAATTGGAACAGCTAATGTTGTAAGTACTCCATGCTACAAGACCGTCTACTAGGACGACCAATATGATGTCAGTTGCCAGATGGGCAATTCCCACTGGGGCACAATGGTTGCTGACTATTGTGACATACATTTACCCATGTATCTGTGCAGCTTGTTAGTCTTTCTTTTCACTTGAAAAGCGCAAAAAGTCCGTGATAAATTCTGTCCACCTGGGCTGGTCTGGAAAATGATCAGTTTATATTGGCATGGAATGAAAGATATGATTTACAAGTTTACTTCAATATACATGACAATATCACACTTTACAGAGCAAAACATCCACCACACTGTAATCCTCTGAAAAAACTGATTAATGCCAAGATTATCAACTTGTCCACCCTCATCACTCAGTTGTTTAGATTGCCTGCCTTCTGATCTATCTGACCATGGCACGGTGACTTAAAGTTGTTTTATGTGCTTGCCGACCTCCCTACTGTGATGGTCTAGACCCATGGCAGCATGTACACACAAGCTCAGGTGACATAGGAAGGCAAGACAAAATGTGCCAAGCATTGTTTTCCATTAAACTTATGAATTGACTGGCAAAATGGTAAAATGGAGAGCAGTATTAGGGCTTACTTCATACTTTTTCATCTATAATTGTTTAACCACCATTGTACAGCTCTGGAATTACATCTGCATATTGATGCTAATACCACACAGCAATTTAAAAACTACTGAATGATTTAATATCTTTGACATTATTCAGCACAGTGCAAATGCAAGGCATATCAATCAGTTAGCCATCAAATATTGTTTTGGTGGTCTCTCAGTCTTGTGTGTGATCACATGTGGTACCCAAAAATTTGTGCAAAAAGTCTTCAACCTCCTATTGAAATGTTCGCAATCATCTTGGGTTATACGCACAGCTAGAACTGAACTACCTTTCACACTTATATGCCTCAACCCACAGTGTACAATCCAGGAATTCATAACTATGCCTGGCACAACATGTGATTTAGCAGGAAACAGTGCTTAAATAAATCATTACACCATCCAGATACAAAGTGGGTAAGTCACATTTTAAAGATGTTTTCCCATTCTGTCTACAGTAGAAGTTTGACCAAGCTCCATAATTTCCTATGCAGTCAGGCCTTGGCTTATGGAAGTTTCATTGTGTCTTTCTTGGTTTGAAATAGTGTCATTACCCCTGTATCTATTATGGTATCAGATAGCAGTATTGTCTGTGCTAGAGCCAATATCCACATGATATTGTGACATGGGGAGACCACTAGCACAATGAAAATGAAAACACCATATGATTCAGAAAATTTTGTGACATTCTGATTAAATATGTACCACAAACAAATCAAGAGCAAGTGCTAAAACAAGCCATAGAGGCCTCCATAACATGCACTTGTCTTGCCCAGTATGGTTATGTCTTGACATTAAATCACAGCAGACATATTAAGCTATTGAACATGTAACTCACCAAATTGTAGTCATGCCCTTCAAAAACATACAAATCAACTTTTAAAAACACCTCAGATGATTGGAAATCAGACAAAAATCTGATCAGATGATCAGAAAACACTGCTGTCCAAAGGTAAGAAGGCCAAAGTACAATCAAATCAATTGTTTGGAAGAAGTATTTTTAAGGTCTTCAACTTTATCAGGCTTAGGTGTTTCATGAAAAAGATATTTGATACACTATAAATGCACTAATACACTATAAAACAAAAAAAAATCAGTACAATCATTACATTGAATGCATAAGTATTTCAAGATGCATTGCATGACATTCACATATCCATTGCAAACCATTGTGCTTGCACCAGAATTTGAGATTATTGGGTCACATCCTTTGGGTCAAATGACGGCAAACAAGGTATAAAACTTCAGATTGATGTCCAAAGTGACCCCCAAACCTAGAGACCTGTTCCAAGAAAAAGGTCACTGGTGCTCATTCAAGGTCAGTGACCTTGTTTGACCTCTCACAGGTCCTGGTAACCAAAACCATACAAGACCGTTTTGAGACTTGAAACTGAATAAGCATTAAAGATAATGCTATGCAATATGTTCCTAAAAACAAAATGTTGACCTGGGTCACTTTAGGTCAGTGACCTATTCTCACCTTGTAGAAGTCAATTCAAGATGCATGAAGTGGTTCCTGTTACCAATAAGTTCAAAATGAGCATTAGACACTACCCTGTACACCAAGCTTTAAAGCAACAAAGGTTGGTTGGTTGGTTTTGATCATGATCTGACCTATCTGATCATAGGCCAACTAACTTTGTTCATTCCATGGTTGTGTTGCCTAGGAAATTATTTCAGAAATGTATGACTACATCTAACACTCACCTGGTGCATCAGATTGAATGATTCCCTAGAAATTGTCTGCTGACTCCATGGCTTGACTTTGACCTGCTGTGGGTTAAAATTGTCTTTGCTGAATCCATGGCCCAACTTTGACCTGCTGTGGGTCAGTGATATCACAAAGCACATCAAAAATTTTATAACAAATGATCAGCTATGCAATTGTTTACAGCTATGCTAAATTTGGTGCAGCTGCACAGCATGGTTTGGAAACTTTGGAGGAGGGGGGGGGGGGGGGTAAATTGACTCCATAGCTGAGCACATTTTTTACAAGAGTTTCAACTTTATTTCTATAAGTTACATGAAGATGGTTACATCACCAAAACCTAACACTGATTCCCTTAAACAATTAACCTGATGGAACTACATATTTTTTGCCTTTGAGGTGCTTGGCCTTGGCCTTGTTATGGGTGCTAAATGATCACTCTAGTTAGTGTGCCCTGAAAATCCCAATAAATAACAAAAACAACCTCTGAATGGCAGAAATGCCAAAAGTGACCTCCAGTTCTCATTATATAATGGCCATGGAAGCACATAAGTCCTAGGCTATCATAAACATTCTTGTCACTTTTTCTTCTATTTATCTTCTGAAAAACTGGTGTGGCAAGCACTCTGTCACTGGTACAAATTATATTACGCAGCCTGTTGTAGTGATGACCTGGCAACTGCAATGGTCACATATGCACCCAGTGACAATAACACAAACTTGGCCTCAAATTCAAGTCTCCCTGCTGGAAGCTGAGCACATTCCCAACTCAGCTATTAACAGCCATACCAGGCAGCTGGGAATCAGACCTGGATCTCCAGGGAGGAAGCTGAGCAGGCCCCAAGGCAGCAGCAACTAAGATAAGAAGCAACCATAAAAGATTATAAGCAACTGATGATATTGTCATGATCATGGTCAAGGTGCCAGTGATGGTGTGTAGACATAACAAATGCTAACTTTGTAGAGCTGGTTTGCTCGATGAGGAGGAAAGGGTTCCTTAATCCCTGCTGCAGTGACCTCACGCCCTGATCACAAAGCAGTCTTAACACCCTAGACCACATAGTTTTGTACATTATTTGGGGAAGGGGTATGCTGAGAAAGCCATCCAACTCAAACAAATGAGAGGCTATTACTGCAAAACAGTAGCAATAGCCTTATTCCTCAGATAAACACCAGAATGGATATATAGATGCATTGACATTCTGGCAGCATACCTTTATGAAAACAATATCAGAATCAGAAGTTACAAAACAACAGCACTTCTGCTATTGTTTCAATAGACATGCTGCCAAAATACCAACACATCTTATATCTCCATTCTCCTGGTTTTATCCAAAGGAATAAGGCTATTATTACTGTCTCATCTATGTGAATAATCTTTCTAACACATACTCAATTGATGTAACAATTTATGTAACTGAAATAAATTGCAAAAACCATGTTTTGGGCATGAATTTGACCAAATTTCTTCACAAAATTGGAGGGAGGGGCTGGAGTCTCATCCAAATGAGTAGGAATCTTCATCTCTGGACCCAAAATAAATATATAAATGAATCAGTACAAGTCCAGGCAGGTATTACATTACTCTAATATCTGTCCTTAGATGAGAGGCCTTACCTATGCTGGTTTGTAGCTGCATTAACTGCTATGTCACAAATGTTATTTTTGTAGTACAGTGGCTTGCATGACATTTCAGTCACAACTTTGCCATGATGTGCCCAGGGGGATTATGCAGCAGATGCACAGCATTTGAAGTATTGGTTTCTATCAGCCTGAAAGGGAATGTTTCACATTTAAAGACAATGAAGCAAGCATCAGATATGGTGAAACAGGCCCACTTAAAACCACTTGGTATCCCTTTTAAGTGGAAAAGATGACTCTGGACAGCATAATTCTCTCTCTAGTAAATATGCTCCTCAATGTGTCATACTTTGATCATTATTGTACCTTTCACAACATTGATTAACAGCCAATTGATGGCTTATATCTGGAAATCAAGCTCAAATCAAACACCATGTGCCTCAACAATTATACCTTCCTTGGCCTTGCTCACAGCATGGCTCCTAGAATGGCAGGATCTGAATGACATAACTACATTGTCATGAATGCCAGGGTGACTGAAGTACTCTCCCTGATATACTTTTCCCCACTTTCCCAGGAATGTACCTAAGAAACTAAAGGGGCTTAGGTCCTGAGAAGGGCATGACTGCCAACAACACATAAAAGTGTTTATGATGGCTGTTTTAGTTTGGAAACCTGTATAAATGCAGAACACACCCCTTTATTGATACTCACACACTTAGAATGAACTGTCCACAAAAGGAGCTTTTTAAGCACTCCATAGTTTCAAAACTAAAAGCAGGTATGATCATATATTTACAAAGGAGGCACTTGATCAGGATGCTGGACACTTTCAGCATTACAAGCTGCCAATCTCAAATGGTTTTTGATAGCCATTGAGATAAACTAGTGTGGTCAAACTGTCATTTACTGCTAAAGAATGTCCTGTAGTACCAGCCATGTACACAGTGCAAATTCACCTAGGCTTCAAGCCACATTTCACCTGTTCACCTGTTCTCACTACAAGCCACAATTTTAACATTTCTGTTCTCTCTCCCCTACAGCCAAAACAAAATTTGACATGTGGTCTAGGGGGACAACTATCAGGTGTGCTGAAAACTATTTGTGTGTATCAAAAATTTAGATTAGGCAAATTGTACCCAATTTTCAAGTCATTTCTTACAGCCAAATGTTTCCATAGCATGTTTGTCTGAAGTAACCTTCACAACAAAATATTCATGACAGTATTGTCTCTCAATGAGTTGAAATTGGCGACAACAGTTCATCAAACAGTGGGCATTCAGATATGTTAAAAAACTGCAATGACAAGTCACTGTCATACTGGGTATTCAGCAAAGCATGCACTACTTTCCAGTCTCAATTAGCTACTACATTGGTGTGATGAGTAACATGAATGCCTATGAATTAAAATTGATAAATCCATGAATACCACGTGCAGCCTCATATCTATAGTTCAATGAGCAAATCAGACCAATGTATATCGTTGAGAGGTCCAGTTATTCGTCATTCAGGTGGGTAATGCTTTACGACTTTCGAACGTCTTTCACCTTAAACCAACAAGACGAATACGGCGCAAAACGGCACACAGTAAGCCAGCTAAGCACAGAGCTAAGGAAACAGTCTGCAGGTAGGCCCATCCTAGTACCTTGGATTTTTATCACGCTAAAAACTGCCACAAAATACACTTACCGACCTCGAAACCCCCACCTCCACCTCCACCAGCCAACAGGGAACTATAGTGGTGACCAATGCAAACAATCGAAATCACCGATATGAGGTCATGGAAATCGCTTCCATCGATAAAGACCAACGCGTTTCGGACCCAGCAAGTCAAAATTTCACAATTAGCTAAAATCATCAGAACTTACCAGAGACAAGTTGCACAAATCCGAGGATAATTAAAAAACATGAATCGTGTGCTCAATGCCGGAAATATAGGGAAAAGTTGCTAAGCGATTTGTTTACACTCAGTGAGGGACTCTCCGTGACGCCACTGGGTGTCATTTCGCTGTCTGCCTGCTGGGCGTACCGAACAGGCGACAGAGACCTCTGCCACTGAACGCCTTCCGCTACACCCAAATTGTACCGGCTTTAATAATAAATTTACCATCGTGCCAATGGTAGATTTCGTGATTGCGGAGCCCACGAAAAAGGCATCTGTATATATTCTAACCAAATATAATTAGTTATTGACGTTAGGCAGATGTGGAAACAGATATGATTATCTAACGCATAACAAACAATAGGTTAATTGTTCCATTCACAAATGCACAGGTGTGTAAAAATTGTTCTTTAAATATGTCCGCACAACATATCATAGAACATATCATATGACCATCAACAGGGACGCAACTTTACGTTTTTCGTTGGGGGGGGGGGGGGCGTTGCCGAACCCATGAACCTTTTCCATTCTCTTTCCGGGACGCATTTTTCACATTGTTCACTTTGCTCTGCGGTATTAATTTGTGCTTAATGTAAAACGAAAGGCTTCGTGTTTCTGGAAGAACGAAAGTCCTTCAACTCCTGATTTCTCGGCGTGAAAAGCTCAAAGTTCTTGCGTTGAGCTAACGGTCTTCGATATATCAGGAGGCACTGGTTCAACGGCATTGTTGTGCTTAACAACAAGTATATTAACAGTACCCGGTATTGCGAGATTCACTCGACCTTAAGACCTCATTCCTTCATGATGGGCACGGGACAGCAGTTGGACGTTCATATTTTAGAAATGTTTCTTTATACACGCCTCAAGCTTACACAAATTTAAGATTCCGATGTTGTATTCTGTTTCGTTTAAAAGATGGATCGTTTGCTGGAGAAGAACCAGCCGCTATTTGGGCACAGCACCTGCCTGTCATAGTGGACACTGCACGTGCGCAAGTGGTATCGCTTCGAGGCCGCCCCAGGAGGCTAAGGGAAGGCAACGATTTTAAGTGACTGTTGGGCTCCTCCCGGAAGCACGGGCTACTGAAGCTAAAGCAGATCCTTTATTGAATAACGTGATGGCAATGCTCCAAGACCGTCTAAACTTTCTGACCTTATTGTGCACGTGATCGAACAATGTGGACGGGTGTATCCTGAGTGTAGGGGAAAGAAGGCATAGGGCTATTCCACCCACCCCTTGGTCACTCATGAGCCATCCTTTGGGCCCCATCAAAACGTCATTTTGAAACCACATCGCCTTTATTTCCAAGAAGCACCAAACTCCGGAGACACCACAAAGGGTCCAATTTTTTTCTGGAAGCACCGAAGTCCAGGAGCACTACAGGGTATATGCCTCGTCCGTTTGATGAAATTCTGCTTCTGCCCATTTGGCAAAGTAGCCCTAAAACCATTATTTCCGATATCATAACTTGAATCTTCAAGGCGCACAGATTCCAGGGGACACCACGAAGGGCCGCAACAACGTCGTGCCTTTCACCTGAACAAAATCTTGGAGCGGCTCCTCGAACAAGGTGCACCGAAATAGTTATGGGGAAATCATCACCTTTATTTTCAGGGGGGTTTCTGTGCGCCTCACCGTAACGAAATTACTCACTGGTCAGTTCTTCAACGCTTGGAAAAATGGAACCAACATATTTCATTTTGGGAAGCCGTAGCCTTTATATTCCAGAGACGCTCAGTTTCAGGGTGTGCCCCAAGGGTTCCTAAAACATTTATTTGGTAATGGGCAGCTAATGTCAGGGAAAATCGTAATACCCGTGACGCTTCATTGACGAAATCATGGACCGGTTCTTTCGGCGAAGCGACACCAAAACCTTCATTTCGAAGCACCGAAACATTTATTTATAATTTGTAGCAAACCCATACGGGTCGCTGAAGAAGTCCAGAGACTTTCATCTTAAAAGACACTACTATTTATTTGCTTTCCATCCTGACCACACTCTGGATCGGCCCGTTCCGTAAAGAGGCACCATAAAACCTTTATTGAGGAGCATCCTAAACATTATTTAAGCAGATACGCAATTCTAGGAGCACCGCGATGGGTCACAAAACGTTTGTTTTCAAGAGGCACTTAAATTCAGGGGCATCACAATGTTCTTACCTCCCCATGGAGAATTCGGGGTCCATTAAGTAACGGGCCACCAAAACTTTTATTTTGGGGTACCATAACCCTTATATTTAGCCAGCACTAAATGCAAACGGCTTATCTAAAGAAACCCAAATCTTTATTTTCAAAGGGCACAAAAATTAGGGTTACACAACTATTGTGGCTTTCACCCAAACAAAATCTCAAGCCAGACCTCTCGTAGAGGAGATTCCCGATGCCTTCATCTCGGGCATCGCGACCTGTATTTTGAAGGGGCACTCAATTCTAAAGAGGTAGCACGAAGGCATACAAACCCTGTAATTTCAAGTGCCGTCAAACTCCGGAGGGCACAAGAACCGATATTTTTTTATTTTCACAAGGAATCAAGGGCGCCACTATCGGTGGGACCGAGACACGTGGCCTACCTTAGGTCTTTGGGCCCCGAGGGTCTCGAGCGGTCCTTTGGGCCCACAGGGAACAACGATCAAGGGTCCGATCGAGGGGTGTTTAGAACAGGCCGGGGGATGAGGGGACCTCAGCTGGTAGGCAATACCGAACACAAGGACAGGAGCGGGATCTTGAATGTCAAAAAACCTCTTGAGTAAGTCAGGACCCTCTTGACAATGGCAGCAGACATGAGGAATGATGATGCAACGGTTTGCACTAAAAATGAGACGGTGAACTGTGCCAGCCAGAGGTCACGGGTTCGAATAAGGGGCTCTCTGCACCGTTTAAGCCAGGAGGCAGGGGTCGAGAAGCTGGGTTGGTATTTCGACGCGAATAAGGCATTGGACTACCTGTGCCGGTTAGGGTTCCTTTTACGCCAGTAACGTGCCCCTACGTCGATCCTGTGTCAGATGCCCAGGTCAACGTGCCTGCTGCATCAGGGATGGGACCGGTGCATGGTGTATTCCCCTGAGTGCCTCTGGATGGAACAGGACGCCCCAGTCCCTGTGCTGCTAGAATAGCAGTTGCTAGCTACCCCGGGCAAGGACGGCGGGGCCATTCAGCTCCTGACCAGGAAAATTCGTTTGTGCGATTCCCATGTAGATTCTGAGAACGGAATTAGCAATTATAACGTCACGAGCAATCAAGATTCCGCCATCGCGTCGTGATTCGGTGGTGTTGTACAAGCTAAAACAATATAAAAATGCGTAAGCAATTGCGTACGAAACGCGTACTCATCGCATATTGTGTATTTTGTATAAATCCCCTTACAAGATTTGCTTATTTTGCAAGCTGCTCCTACGTTATACTAAAATCATCTTACAGTTCGAATGCTGCACGATTTTAGGTGCCGGTGGTGCAGCATACCAAATACCCTTGTTTTTAATATGTAGAACTCATACTGCTCATGCATCGCTCGTGTAGCATCCCTCGGTTGGAATGTAGCAAATGTAATGCTCACTTAAGACACTCAAAACGTGCAGCGTAACATTTCAGTATTTCCAAGTGAACAACACGAAACGTGTTGTGCGTATGCCAGGGAGCTGGCCGCATTTGTTACTTCGGGAAAGAATATCGCGTTAAAGGTCTAGGAATTTTACTAGTTTCCCCGCTTTCTGCTACCACCACCAACATTTCAATATTCTTGTCAGGACATGTTAGTCGAGTAACATTACGGGTTAGGCAATGTATATTGGTTATTGCATTTGCGTTTGACCATTCACCGTGGGGTTTGATTCCCTGCGATGCTCATCCTCTCTGCCAGGATGAGGGGCAGGCGTCACCACATGGTCTCAGAAGCGTCGTAGAGCCCCAATCAGGTAATCGCCCAGGTAATCGCCCCTAAGGAGGGCAAGGACGGGCGCTTCGGGGTCTCAGGGACTATAGGGATTTGATTTCTGGGATCCTTATGCCGACTTCACCGAGGGTGACTTGCTTCTAAGCAAGCAAGCTTAGTAAGATAAGCAAGCTAACATAGCATGCTTCTAAACAAGCCAAGCTCAGGGATTCATGCAATGCTAGGGGTTTGCTCAATCAGTGGTTAGGAGCTTAGTAACAGTTTTCATAGATCAGTATAATGTACTTGACGCTTCGATAAGTCGATTAGCCCGAACCTGAAGCGAAACACAGTATTGATTGGTCCAAACGATATTTCAACCCTGGCAGACGGTTGCGTTAATTTTGGCATTATTCCCGAAACATTTCTGACGACAGGCTGTCATTTTTTGCCCAGGCGCGAGGAACCTAACTGATCTTTCAAAATCGTCACTGCCTCCAGCAGCCTCCACGTAATCATTATTTGACAGCGATGACCCATGACCTAGTCACTAAGCATGCACGAAGCAGACGGTTTTATGCATGGCACGCCAAAATGCGGAGGGGTCCTGCTTTGTCACCGTCCTCAAAAGTGAAAGTTTCACGGTAACACTGTTTATGTCGTCCGATCCCAATTGCGGCCGAGAAAATCACTCTCTAGTCAAAGTTTCACCAACATTTTTCGAATCTTATTGCGCCGCCCACGCAGTTCTGAGCACTGAACCTCAAACGGTCGCTGAATGTCACGAGCGATTTTGGTGGCCATTCATTATCTGAACTAAACCACCGTTGATTGTAGCCCTTTGTTCAGGTCGTCATGGCGTAATTAACAATTCGTGGAGCCTAAGGCAAGCGTGGAATCCACAAATGAGAACTCCCGGGAGCAGCTCCTTGGCTCCGACTGACTCATGTGTTGAAGCCTTCTCCTGCAGTTAAGCATTAACAAATCGTTGGGTCAGGAGCCCACACCGAATCAGTCCAACGGCGAA